GAGAAGATAGTGAGTATGCTAAGCCCTATTCTAGAGAAGGGTTGTTGTTTTTAACAACCCCTGAGTCCTCAGGGAGTGGGAATGAAGGTCTGCAGGAGAGTCTTTCAGTAGGTGTGGAGGAGTCATGAGATGCTAGTTTGGTGCCTGGCACAGAGTACGGCTCAATAAATACTTGTGACTGATGTGTGGTATAGTTGGATCTAGAGCCAGTCAGATAAGTCTGAATTCTGGTTTCAACACACTCTGTGCTTCAGCCTACTCCTTTAATGACCCAAACTTCAAGGACACAGCGCCTGTACAAGCAGGGGCCTTCTTTACAAATATCAGAGACCATACTCCCACTAATTTGGACCAAAAAAGAAATTTCTAGCTCACACTGCTGGGAAGGGTACAACGGCAAAAGCCAGGAACTTGGAGCAGCTCAATGTCGCCAAGGCTCTTTTTCTCCTTGTCTTTGTCTGACTTCTGCAGACAGGCTCTGTCCAAGAGGCGGGGATGGTGGCCATTTGCAGCCCAAGCTCAGCTTTGGAAACGGAGCTTCTCTCTCTCAACATTAATAAATCCATCTCAAAGGCGGCTTTGATTGGCCCTGCTTTGGTCCCAGCCAGAACTAGGTCACATGCCTGGTCCTATGGTGGGAGGAGTGGGTAGTGTTACCAGGAGGAGGGGAATGGGAAAACCAAGTGGGCAAACAAATCAACAACCACAGTACCTGTAATACCTGAAGGTCACATGTATATGTGTGTGTTGGGGAAGCCCGAGTCAGGAGGAGCTCCTGGATATGGAGTACTCAGGTGGGACCACAAACAGGCCTGGCCTATTCACCGTTAGGATTATTATTAGGTATGAATCAAGTGGCTCCACTATATGTCAGGCTCCGTGTTAGGCTAAGTGTATCTCATTTATATCATGTCTCATTCTCACAACAAACCTAAGAAATATATATTATTGGCCCCATTTTAAAAGTGAAATGACAGAGGTCAAGCTCATGCAAGCAGTGAGTGACTGAGCCAGATTCAAACTTGGGTCCTTTGGACGCCAGAGCCCAGGTTTTCCCCAAAGTCAGGCTGCCTCTTTAGAAACTAAAGCTGAAAGCTTGCTAGATGGCTGCATTGAGCACACTCTGGCCCCAGCAGGTGTGGCCTTGCCAGGGTGGGTAACCATGGCTTCATGCCTTCCTGCTACACACTTCCTCTGCTCTCCCCAGGCCTACAAACCCTTCCGGGCCAATGGAGACAGGCAACCACTCAGTAATATATGGGCTGCTTCAGCAAATGGCATTTCTCCAAGACTTGATCCCCTAGTTGGTGACCCGACCTACAATTTTCTAGAGTTTGGCCTGCTGAGTGAAAGGAAATGGGAATGAGGTGTTTGGAGGGACACTGGCATAGCAAATAAATGAAGGGATGTCATCTCTCACCTGAATCACAGAACCATCTGCAGCTGCTGTTCCCCCTGCCTCTCTGCTGCCCTCAACCCATTCAGCACCTCACAGCTAGAGCAGTCCTCGTAAAATACCATTCTTCTTGCACCCACCCCAGCTCAGAGCCTCAATGGCTCCCCTTTGCCCACTCTCATTAGGGCCGCCTCTCAGCCTCCTCCAGACCTTCCCTACCCACCTACCCAACTTCTGCAGCTTGCTTACCCACCACTGCCCCTCACAGTTGGGGAGGCAACAGACTTGGAAAAACAGTATAGCACCAACCATATGTGGTTATTTAAATTAATTAAAATTAATCACATTATTATTGAAAATTCAGCTGCTCAGTCACACTAGTCACATTTCAAGTGCTTTATAACCTCTTGTGGCTACTGTGCTGGACAACATGGATATAGAATGTGCCCGTCACCCCAGAAACTTCTATTGGGCAGCACTGGCTTTGACCTTTCTCTTACAAAGGAAGCCCTAATCAAGAAATGTTATCAGCTTTAAAGGAATCTAGGGTAGATCTGACCTATTCTGTGACTCCACAAATATTTGGCACCTACAATATTCCAGGCCCTGGACACACAGTAGTGAGAGCAGTAGGAGTAGTTGGTCCTTTCCTGGGAGTGAAAAGGCTGTTGCTAGGGAGTGTCCTAAGCGCCTGTGCCCAGACCCGGGGGAGCCACGAAGGCTTCCTGGAAAAGGCGATATCTAGGCGCAGAGCTGTAGCCTGAGGAGCCAGGAGCCAGGCTGAGTCACTCTCCAGATCATGCTCTTTTTGGCATGGGTCCTTTGGCATTCACTGTCCCCACTGCCTTGACTGCTCCCTCTCTCTTTTTCCCCAGGGAGGGAAGGCATGGAGGCTAGTTCCTTCAAGTTAGTCCCCAGGCTGGGACCAAGCGAGGGCCGCCTGGGTCAGGCAGGGCTAAGTGTCGAGGAGAGAGGCCCCTCCCACGCAGGGCCTACAGGGTCAGAGCTGGCCAGCAGAGCTGAGGGAGGCCGTCTTGGAGGGATCCCCCCCTTCTGCTACAGCCTCCAACTAATCCCCTCCCCTCATACACACAGCAGGGCTCACCTTCACCCTGCCGGTGCCCGCTGCCCCATCCTGCTCCTCTTTCTGGTGCCCTGGGGGGGGGGACGACACCCCTGCAGAGACTGTCAAGTGGCCGGCCCCGCCCGAGTGCACGCGCTTGCCTGGGAGAGAGGAGCCGCAGGCGCAGCAGGCCCTGCACCGTGCTGGCCGCTTTCGGCCGAACGCCTCGCTTAGGCCGCCTAACGCGGGTAGCTGGGCAGGGACGGTTATCTCCACCCTCTCACAGAAGTCAGGGCCCACGCAGGGCGACTGGCCCGCGCGGTAAGAGCAGCAGCACCTTCCACGCCCCACGGCCAGGCCCGGGCGCGAGAGCGCCCTACCCCACCCCCTCGCTCCCCGCCTCG